AGATAGATAGATAGATAGATAGATAGATAGATAGATAGATAGATAGAAATGTTTAATAATTCAACTTATTTTCTTTTAGTCCTCTTCGTCTCCCACACCCTATAAATTGACTGCGCTGCGTTCAGGCATCATGGGAAACAGCCCGATCACGAGAGGGTTACGTCTTCTACCTCAACACCGGTGTACCGGAAGTGCAACTGGTGCGAGTTTAATGGACAAGGAAGAGACATTTGTTTAAGTTTAGCTTCGAGTACACATATACTCTCCCTTTTTTTTTGTTTTGTTTAAAAGTCTGTTTTTAGTCGTCGGAATGCCTTTATTTTCCCAGAATCCTTTTGACCAAGATGTCGGTGAGTAAAGTGCTTTTTTGTGTATTTTCAGGGACTCCGAACCGATGACGAGGACAGAAGCTAATGCTAACTTAGCTCCTGTGTTAGCTGGCTGTGAAGTTACGATGTTTAAGCGCGGACTTTCGTTTTACCTTCAACAAACAGAAGTCTGGGGCACTACCTAATGTGTGGCTGACAAACTGACGGGCTGTCAACAGCTTCCTTGAAGCTTCTCGGACAGTTCGACCGCTGGAATGAGCGACTGTCTTTTTGTAAACAACTTTTGAGTCTGAGTCATCATCATGAGGATGAGGAAAAAATCCCTATAACGTGTAAGATATTAAATTAAATTAGATTATTTGATACATCATTTGTATAATGCTAGCATGGTGGGAAAAATATCCATGGCAAAGAAAACTAAAATCAGTCAAACCGGGTGATAGTGCCACTTTAAAAAGGTGCTTATGATTTAAGACTGATAATTTTTAGTTGTATTTAAAATCTGTTGGTTTTAAGCTCACTTACAGGAAAAATAAACACAATTTAAATGATTGGAATTTTAACTTTTTATTAATCCAATTAACAGTTGTATGTGGCAAATAAAAGCAGACTTAAGGTTTGTAATGGAGTAATGTTGAATAAAGTGTGCCCTTCTGGTTTTTATATTTGTCTGGGACGTTACTTCCCCCGGGCCTTCCACTCCCTGTCTGTCTTCATGACAAATCGCATCATCGGTTCAGATCAAGGGAACAGCTTTTTCCAAAATGCTTATGCTCATTGTGTTTTAATAACTTGAGTTATTGGAACGTCCAAATTTGAAGCCAAGTTGTTTTTTCCCCGCCCATGCTCATTTTAATAGTGTCTTCAGTCTGTACATGAGAGTTCAAACAGTAGAAAACAATGCGGCGACAAACCAAATACGACGCTTCACCTTTAGCATGTGAATTCAATTCACTTTATTTAAATAGCGCCACATCACAACAGAAGTCTTCTCAGGGGTACAGAAACATTCGCATACATAAAAAGTCAGTTAATAACATTATTCGTCTAAAGAGCAGATTTCTTTGAGTTTTCACTTTGTCACAGTCTCCCACCCGAAGCAAGCACAAAGGCAACAGTGGAAAGGAAAAACTCACTCGGGAAGAAGCAGAACCAGGCTCAAGACAAGTGGTCATCTGCTTCGACTGGCTGGGTTTATGAGGAACAGGAAGGAGGAACAGATACACAATGGCAGGTCCAGGATGGAGGCCATCAGTTTTTTTTCTCTCGCAGGAAGACTAGAGGACTGAAATCGCATGTTAAGAAAGAATAATTACAAATACAAACTATTTATTTGATGAAATGAGGTCAATTTGTCCTCCAGTAGTCTAAGGTTTTATAGCAGCATAGGATAAGGAATAGGTCAGGAAACCAAGCCGACTAACTATAGGATTTATCAAAAAGGAAAGTCTTCAAACTGGACAATGTGTCAGCCTCATGGACAGAAACTGGAAGTTGGTTCCACAAGAGAGGAGCCTGAGAACTGGAAGATCTGCCTCCCATTCTGCTTTTGGAAACTCTAGGAACCGCAAATAAGCCTGCAGTCTGAGAGCAAAGTGCTCTGATGGGAAAATATTCAATTCAAAAATACTTTATTAATCCCAAAGGGAAATTATTTTGTTGTTGTAACTCGTTATCCTCATTTCATTAAGAGATGTTATAGATGCTGATGGCTGTAGACAGGAAGGATCTCTTGTAAAGGTCCATCCCACAATGGATCTTTAGAAACTGGTTGCAAATGCCGTCCGATCCGTCCACCCAGACTCAGCTGGCCTCTCGGTTCCCCCGGGCTGTAGGACCGCCTGAATGTCGGGCAGAACTCCTCCCAGAGCGATGGCCACTCCTCCCAGCAGCCTGACGAGCTCCTCGTCACTGCGGACAGTCAACTGTAGGTGCTGAGGGACGATCCTGTCCTTCTGCTGTCATGAGCCGTGTTTCCTGCTAGTTCCAGGATCTCAGTGGTCGGGCACTCGAGCCCAGCTGGCAGGTAGATGAGAATGCGTCCACAGAACATCCTTTTCAACTCATTTGAGGCTGTAGCTGAGATAATATTTGAGCTTTTGAGATGTTAATCAGCTGTTGGTTGTAGAAAATGCCTTGTTGCCATGGTTACGCATCATAACAAATGTCCAAAACTAAAGAAGTTTCAGTAAAAATCCTTCCAGCTGCACAGCGTCCGATACCAGAGGAAACAATCATCAAAAAAATGTGATTTACATCCAGAAAAAGAGGAATTAAAGTTTCCAAAAGCAAAATCTCAGAATGAAAGTGACAGAGCTGCTCCAACATGCAGCCACCTGGAGCGGCGCAATTCTAGAACTGAATAAGTTCTAGAATTGCTCAAACAAACAAACAAATTTCTATAACATAAATAATATGGAATAAGATCTCTAATATAAGATGGAGCTAGGTTGTTGAGGGCTTTGTATATTAGAAGTAAGGTTTTGAGTTCTATTCTGGAGATACAAAATGACCACGTCGTCCCTAAATATTCAGATGACTTGATGATTACCTGCCAAGTTCAGTTACACTTTCAATGGTGTACATGTAAATTTTCCTCAACGCTTCCTGGTTCAGCTTTATTAGCAGCACAGCCCGTCTCATATGACGAGACAATGGTCCGCTGTTGACTCGGGAGTCACGCACGTCATGATAAATGTCTATCGGAGGGATTTCCTCGTTTTATGAAGTAGTTGTTTCTGTCCGTGTGTGACAGAAAACCCACGTCTTGTAAAAATTAAAACGACAAACTAATGCGACTATTTCTAGGTATTGTGTTTTGGGCTTCCAGGCTGTCGTGCGACATCCATTTGCTCTAAAATAGATCCGTGCTTGCTTTGCATAAGTGCGACACTTGCCCACTGTGGCTGCTGGCATGGAAAACGAGCAGTCACGATGGCAGCTAACACGTTTTCACACTTCACCATATGTACTGTGTTCATGTTGCCATATTTCCAGAGAAGGCAACAAATGAAAACAACACAACAGATGACTGGGGGCTCATCATGGACATCTGTGATAAGATCGGGACGACGCCCAACGGGTAAGCACGACCAAAGGTTTTTCCTCTGAATGTTAAAACATGTTGGCGTTCCCACAAAAACTGTGGATCTCTTAAACGCTGTATTGCCTTTTTGTTTTTGTTTGTTTCAGACTTTAAAAGGGGTTTACCACATTAACTATTATCAGCTAACCCCCAGCCCTCTAATGTGCAGATACTGTGCTTTGTTTAATAATTACTGAGCCGAGAATTAATCACCATTTCCCCCTTCGGTACAGACCAAAGGACAGCCTGAAATCCATAATGAAGCGAGTCAACCACAAAGTGCCTCATGTTGCCATGCAGGCCCTCAATGTGAGTTCAATACAACAAGTTGTGGTTTTAAAATGTCATAAATCTATTTTAAGATGGCTTAGGGTTGTATTTAAGCTTTTATGTTTGTATCCATTTGATTTTTATCCAAACTGGAACGCACTGTAATAACACAGAGGGCTAGAAAAGTATCTGCACCTCTTGGTATTTATTTTACCCCTGCTTTACAACAATCTAATCGTGGTTCTTGAAGGCCTGCTTGACCTGCATGTTTCACAATGACTGATTACTGCTTCATGTTCTGCAGAAGCCAGTGGTTCATATGTGGTGTGTTGGAGCAGAGAAACATGTAAAACCTGCAGGATGGGGACCCTCGGGGACCACGACTGGACTGCGTCTCAAGTTAATTTCTAGTTTGAACCAACGTAAAATCATTCGGATTAATGAATTAAATCCTTTACTTTAAAACTCCAACCATAAAACCCACTGTAGACGATACCTTAGAAATACCATTACTGTTTTTTGTTTTTACTGAAGATGTTTAAAGTAATTTAATAAGATTTTTATTGTGCACTGTTGATGGCAGTTTGAAGCGACACGAATCGTTCCTTCATCCAAGTCGTCCTGAACAGTTCCCTCTATTTTTAGATGTCTGTGTTCACTCGTTCACACGGTGAAAACCTGAGTGTCATCCGGCCCGTTCATTATAACAGAGGCTTGGCCTGCTCTCAATGAGTCTTTTAAATGATTCAGTTATCATTCTCTGGGTTAAAATAGACTCAAGTCCTGCTTCTCTCCTGTAATGCAGCTTTTTAATTTATGTATTTCATCCTTTAGTTGCTGGGTGCTTGTGTATCAAACTGTGGCAAAATATTTCATCTGGAAATCTGCTCCAGGGATTTTGCAACTGAAGTACGAAATGTTTTGAGCAAGGTACGTAAATCTTTGTTGGTTTTTATTCCATTCTTATTTTCTAATGGTCTGTTCTGGGCAACCCCACCTGAAATATTGCAGACTTAATAATTTCATGTTCATGAAGCCCATCAACATAAATTTGGATGTTATTGTTGTTAAAGTGCCAAGTTTCCTTTAGAGCGTCACATAAATGTTAATGTTCTCTGCCGTTCAGGCTCATCCTAAGGTGAGTGAAAAACTGAAAGTGATGATGGTGGAGTGGGCCGAAGATTTCCAGAAGGATCCGCAGCTCAGCCTGATCGGTGCCACCATCAAGTCTCTGAAAGAGGACGGGATCAGCTTCCCGACCCCATCCTCACAGGTGTGTGGGCGTTGGGAAATGTAGCACAAGTTTTCTTGTAAGATATCCCCGAGAGGACGGTAAAGAGTTTAAACTTCTCAAGCAAAGCACTGATCCGTTTGTTTTGAGTTCAAATCAGATCCTCGGTCTTCAGCTGCCCACGTAGAAATCCACAGTCTGTACCAGAAACATTGAGTTGGGACTTAAAGGGACAGTTCAGATCTCCTGAGTTGGGTTTCTGTGGAAAGGTTATAATGAAGATAACCACAATATTGCTTTGGTATTTATTGCATAACAATAAATGACAATACAAAATAACAATTCAGTGCCATCTTATGGGCTGTAAATATTTTATTCAGTCTGGAGCCACAAAAACATCAATGTGTCTAAAAAAAAAGTGCAAACACAATCAAATATTTTATTAAAATTGAACTCTGCTGCATTCACTGGAGATGCAAAGGTGCACATTTTCTGACATCTCATTAATTCTGATTAAATTAACTCGTGCTCAGCGCTTCTTCGTTGATATTGTTTCAAGTTGACAAATTTTTAACGTGGGTTTTATTTATGTACAAAATGTCATGAACAATACAAAACCGCCCCATGTTTAACCGAACTGATGAGCTAACGGCTAGTCTGAGCTGATTGCTGCCATTTTCAAACGATTCCAAACTAAAATATACGGTAGCAGCTCGTGCTAATCTTTCATAAACCTGCACGCTGCCATCAGTTCAGCATTACACAGAAATATTGTGATGCTCCTGTTGGAAGTGTTACAGCTGCTATTTTCACTTACAATCACCACAGAAGTCCAAGTAAATAATTACAGGTAAGTAGCAGGTAATTGCAGCCATTATGAAGTTTTAGGAAGGAAGCGCTCCACTTGTTTCTCGATCGCTCAGACTAGCCATTAGTTTCTTTATTGTCGCATGTGGTACATGTGGTGGAACGAAATCGTGTACACAGGGTCCCAGTTGCATTAGCTTGTCAACTCCATCACAACTGATCTCCTTCTACAAACTGAGGCTCAAAGAGCAACCTAAAACGGGTACTATACTATTTGTTCATAAGAACCTCTCCACAGAACCACGCTCTGAACTATCGTTTTAAAAGCCACCTCATCAGATTATGTTAAAGTACAATTTGGTATTTACTGTGTCCTGTGCCAACCAGCCATTCATCCATAAACAATGAAAAGTCACAATCTGTAACTTGTTTTTAGTAGATGGAATTAAACCATCAGGAATTTAATGGCAACACTTTCCAAATTTCAGAGGTCTGTGATTACCGTAATTTCCGGACTATTGAGCGCACCTGAATATAAGCCACGCCCACTAAATTTTAAATTGGAATACAATTTTGTACATACTGTATATAGACCGCACTTGTGTGTAAGCCACAGGAGTCCACGCTGTAACATCGATATTTGCTAATTTAATTTTTTTAATTCATTCAACCTTTTATTTATACAGGCTAGTCTCACTGAGTCACGAAGACCCACCCCCCAAGAGAGATGTGTACTGGGCAGAGCACCCGGGTGTGACCAGGCTAAATGTTTTGGAGGCATGAAGCTTGTTAGCCGTTAAAAAAAAATAAAATCTATAAATTAGCCACAGCTTTGTACAAGTTGCGATGTTCAAAGTGTGTGAAAAAAAGTAGTGGCTTATAGTCTGGAAATTACGGTACAGGTGTGCATGTCACAGATTTGATTAGTTTTATTTGTAGGCCTTTTTATTTTGTTTCTGTTCCACTGCTTGGTCCTCGTGTTAACTGGTATTTAACTTTATACGTTTCACAAATTGAAGAAAACTTCAGTCTCGGGCTCTTGTGACAAATCTGACCTACATCTTATATAGAGTTCTATTATATTTTGTACGTGTCGTATTTATCAAAACACCTTTCACGTGCATGTAACATGCACTTGGTGTGAATCTGGTTTTGAACACTAAATGTAAATGTGGGACATAATGAACAGCAGCATGGCTTCAGTTTGATTCTTGTGGGACCTCCGATTGTTTTCTCGTCCCTGCGTAGCTCCGTCCAGCGTTGGTGCTGCGTGCTGTATTTGTAAGAAAAGCTTGAGAAACGTGAATAAAAAGAGAGCAGGCGACCCATGAGGCAGCAGGTATGACATTTAATCTGTATGGGCTCATGAGCGAGCACCAGCAGGCTACGTGCCTCAAGCTGTGGCGGTGTTTACCTTTTTAGACACAAATGTCAGATTTTATTCGAGCAGCACGGAGGCATTTCTCTTGTGCTTGGATTCAGCTGCACACCATTAAGCCTCGTGAAATCAGTTTTAAGTTCCTGCTGTTAACCTCTTTGTTGGGAGGATTTGTTTGATTTTTGTTTTATTGCTGCACGTTGCACCGATCAAAGTCCAGAGAAACAACAGAATGGATGTCCCGATGCATGCTCAATAATCCAGGTAGAAAAATCTAGCAAAGTTAAGTCGGGTTCTCTGGACGGATTAAAACAAATTAAAAACTTGAAACGTTTCGTCTTTTATACAAAAGACTTCCTCAGTCCGAGGTGCTGTTTTCAGCTCAGTCTTATAAACAGCACCTTCTCATAGTGGATCAACCAGTTTGCTGCTGACATCCAGATGATGAAGACCATCAACCTAACCACCGATCGTCAGTGCCCTGATGGCTGTTTGTTATCCACAGGGGGCTGAGTGATACTAGCAATCACAGCATTGTAAGAGGGGGACATTTGGACATGGAAGCTCCGCCCCTGTTTAATGATGGACGGTTTCTTTTCACAAAGATGGCCTCCTTCACTCCTCTCTGAAACAATCGTTCCTCTCTGTCCAGGATGTGCACATCTTCATCCCTGAAAGAGTGACCGCTGGCCTGGAGATGAGTGTAGACCTCAGAGTCCTGGCCTGATGATGTTGATCTTCTGTGCTGGTCCATCCTTTTGGCCAGTGGCTGTTTAGTTTCCCTGATGATCACCTTTCTGACCCTGAACAGCATACACAACATTACTCTGTTTGTGCCGGGGGACTGGATCTTTGGGATGAACCAGTCTTTAATGTATTTTGGGGTTTAAAAGCCACTGGGACGTTATGTTTAGAAAATAAACGTCTCAGTTTCTCTGATACTCCCTCAACATATGGAATGACCACTGGTCTGGGTCTGGGTTCCTCCTTTTCACCTGTTGGCTGACTGGAGTCCTGTTTGGGTTTCTTCTCTGCTTTCAGGAAGGCCCAGTTAGGATATCCACATTGCTCTAGAGCCTGTCTTGTGTAGGATTTCTCCTTCTGCCTGGCTCCTGAGCAAGTGGGGACGCTGTCTGCTCTGTGGTACAGAGTCCTGATGACTCCTAACTTGTGCTCCAAAGGGACTGAGACTGAGACCTCACAGTCCAAGAAAGCCAACCTGCCATTTTTTACATCTTCTCGTGTGAACTTGATGTATTTATCCACAGAGTTGATGTGGTCAGTAAAATGTTGGACTTCCTGAGATTTGATTTGAACCCAGGTGTCGTCAACATACCTGAACCAATGACTTGGTGGTGTCCCTGAAAAGGACGTCAAGGCTCTCTTTTCTACCTCCTCCATGTACAGGTTGGCAACAATAGGAGAAACTGGAGACCCCATAGCACACCCATGTTTCTGCCTATAATATTGCTCCCCATATGTGAAGTACCCTAAACTCATATTTTTTTTTATTTTTAGTGGTTATGCCATAATTTTCTTCATGCACACACACGTGACCTTCTGTTTCTATATTGACCGCAGGGGTCCAGCACAAAGGTCAGCACACCTGCTGCAAATAAAGCGCCAGATGATGAAGACCTGGCCAAAGGTAAACCTAGATGTTTTTTCTTTTTGTGAGCTGTAGCACGCTTGAAGTAAGAAGTTGTGTTTATGTTGCCAACATATTTGATCATCTCAGTGCAGTTATTTATTTATTTTTATATTTCTCTCAGCCATTGAGCTGTCCTTACAGGAGCAGAAGCAGCCAGCAGAGACACGACCCTTGACCTCCGACCCCCCAAACTGCACTGTTGGTGGCGGAGGGTCAGAGGCCCGGAAGGTGCGTGCGCTGTACGACTTTGAAGCAGCTGAAGATAACGAGCTCACCTTCAAAGCTGGGGAGGTTGTTCTGGTTTTGGATGACAGGTAATCAACAAAAACCAGCAGGTTTCCAGTTAAAAGCACCAGTGAGATGTGCACGTAGGAGGCGTTAGAAAATAATCAACTGACATGAAGAACAACTCTGCATAGCCTTAATCTTAAGAAATTAATAAATGTATGTTTATTTTTTCGTTCAGCTTTTTCAGGACGATCCTGCTCTGACTTTTGGTGTTGGTGCAACTTTAGCTTTTTGAAATATTTAGCCTTTTCTGACTTTTTTTTTCTCAGAAAATGAATTGAGCTCATTTTCCATCCTTCAAATATTTAATCTGTTTACAACCTTTTGCTGCTCCTTTCACATTTTGTTCTGCTTCAGCTTCTTTCAACTTCTTTCTGAAAATATAAACTTTTTTTCAGCTACTTTTAACAAATTTCAGCTGTTTTGTACTCCTTTCAGATTCTTTCTGCTAGTTTCAGTTATTTCAGCTGATATTTAGCCGTTTTATGCCAATTTAAGCTTTTTCAGCTAATTCCACAATTTTTGCACTCATTTAAACTTTTTTCAACCTAATTCAGCTAAAATGTCCTATCTCCACTTCCTTCTGGTAATTTCAGCTTCTTTATGCATTTTTAGCTGCTTTTCAGCTGTTTTTGCTATTTTAGGCTTTTTTCAGACAATTTCTACTTTTTGTTTTGTTCATTTCTGCTTTTTTCAGCCTAATTTAAGCTTGTTCTACCTTTTTTTTCTTAGCATTTTTTTTAGCTAATTTCAGCTGTTTTCAGATAAATTCAAGTTTTTTGTTGTAACCTACTTTCAGCCTAATTTACTTATTTCTTCTAATGTAAGCTTTTCCTGCTGTTTCAGCTGCTATTTAGCTGTTTTTATGCTAAATTTAGCTTTTGCATCTACTTACACATTTTCTTAGCTCATTTCAGCTCTCTCCACTTCCTTCTGGCAGCTTAAGCTTCTTTCTGCCTTTTCAGCTACTTTTCATCAATGTTTTTTTAATTTCAGCTTTTTTTAGTTAATTTCCAAATTGTGCTCATTTCTTATTATTTAAAGATAATTCATGAAATATTCTTTCTGTTGTCTTCTGTTAACTTAGGCTTGTTTTTCTATTTCAGCTAATTTCAGCTGTTTTTTCATCCAGTTCTTCAGCAATAAGCATTCACACTGTACTCTAGTTTACCTATGAGCTTGAGACTCGCATACAAAAAAAGCTTAATATAGATTTAGACATATTGAAGTTTCTTTTTTCTATTTTTGTAAATATTTGCAAATATGAACAAAGCCTATATTTTGACTGTCACCTGCCTAAGACGGATATTATTGAATGTTTACCTCTGGCTTTATTCTGTTCCCTGAACTTTGTGCTTCAGACTGTGTAGGGTTTCACAACAACGAGACGATGATTCCTTCGCCTGATTTAACTTTTAGGCACACTCTGAGTACGTTTAAGCGTCGGAGGCTTATGCATTAATTTATATTTCTTATTTATGTTGTGTATATTTGCAGCGATCCAAACTGGTGGAAAGGAGAAAACCACAGAGGAGTCGGGCTTTTTCCCTCAAACTTTGTCACGACCAGTCTAAACGCTGAGCCGGAGCCAGGTTGGTCTTTATATTTACCATGTCGCGTACACTTTGTTCTGCTGGCGTTGTGCATTGTTTCTTTTGAAAGCAGCCTTATTGCCGCTCTGCTGATTGGTTTAAACGGAAGCGGGATTGCTTCTTGGCTGCTAATGAAGAAACATTTCCTTCCTCAGTGGTTTATGTTGAGAAGACGGCCTCTCCTGAAGAGACGAGCCTGGAAACCAAAGCTGAGCCTGAACCCGTCTACATTGACGAGGTGTCACTTTTCCTCATGTATATAAATCTACAATCCTAAATCACTTCTTAGTCAAATCACCAACCATGATCTCCTAAATTCTGTGTGCAGGCGAAGATGGACAGAACGCTGGCGCTGCTGCAGAACGCAGATCCTGCAGATCCCACTCCAGACTCTGCAGAGCTAACCCAGCTGGAGGGTATAAACTCATATTCTGCTGTAAAACCCCCTTGAATTAAGCTTTTATTTTCTCACTGTTTTTTCTCCGTGTGTCAATATCTGAACAGATGCGTGTCAACAGATGAACCCCCTGATTGATGAGAAGCTGCAAGAGATTGACAGGTCTATTTATTACCTTGAATAAAAGTTTGAATTGTTGCTTTGTAAACGATGTTTGTTAATAAACGTCTCGCTGTGTTGCAGGCATCATTCAGAGTTGTCCGAATTGAACCTAAAAATGATGGAGGCCCTGGAGCTTTACAACAAGCTCATGAACGAAGCTCCGTTCTACACGGCCTACTCCAAGATGCAGACCCAGTACGGTCCAGCTGGATCTTCTGTGCCCATGCAGGTCAGAACCGTGCAGTGAAGCTGCTCCGAACTGGACTTTATGTTTTATTTTTGTTTTGTAGAAACGACAATACAACTACAAACCATCATGTGCAATTTAGAGCTTGGCAATGACATTTCAACATTCAGATAGTCGATGGAAAATGTAAAATTTGAACATTTTGTTCTTCTTCTTTTGGCTGTTCCCTCTTCAGGGGTCTCCACAGCGAGTCATCCCCCATCTTACGCCTTCCTTCGCACCGTTTGTCCTCACTTGTCCTCTCTAACTGCATCCATCCATCTCCTCTTTGTCTTTTCCCTGGCAGCTGCATTCCTAACATCCTTCCTGTCCCTCCTCTGCACACGTCGTGTTGTTGTTCTCACTGGCACCTGGTAGTAGCACGATGCTAACACTGTTACGAGTTGGCTGTCGTGTGCCGAGTTTGCCAACGGTTGAGGAGCTTTCAGTGATGGGGGTTCTTTTATCAGCTCAACACCTGCCCAAAAAAATCTTGAGTGATCCTGCATCTGTTCTTGTCATCGTCACCATTTTATTTGGGACAGTTCACCTTCCACTGGTGAGCTACATCTAGTGCCAGAACATAATAAAAATATGCACCCTGCCTCCTGCAGTGATCCAACAGACGGCTAATTCATAAAAGATGAAGGACCACGAGTATCTCTGTAGATGTAATTTGAACTCTGTCAGAGTAAGACTTGTGATTGTTACTGCAAGTCTTGATCCTGACTCCGGACCTGCACATTTCTGCACATAAAATTGGCAAATTGTTCTTTAAAATCAACCGAATATTTTGGGGCATCTTTAAATATTTGCACAAATGAACCCATTTCTAGTATAAGTCAGTGACCAAACAGAACCTTCAATGGGAAAAATGAAAACCTTTTTTGAAAAGTCACAGAAGACTCGAATGTAAGCCACCAGATTCATCTTTAGGCAAAGGTCACGTGTAAATATGATGGGTTTATTGTGATCTGACTGTTCTTTAAACGGTTTTGTAACGCACCTGATGTGATGGTGAATAGGTATTCACTTTATGCCTTAAATCAATGCACAGTTTGCTGCTCAGAGCGGTGCACTGCAGACGCTCCGTTTTATTCTTCTTGTACAGAGTCAACATGAAGCAGAGCTGTCGTGCATAATTTAGGGATGGATTCTGTCAGAAGTCTCTCCACAGATCTGAAACGGGAAATGTTCCTGTTTAAGAAGGATGTTTAGTTTGACCGTGTTCATGTGCAGCAGCTTCAGTAACGATTAAACTTCATCAGCATATACCTGAACTTTAACATAATGTGATTTACCATACCTCCTTTTTATTTATAAAACACTTAAAAACGGCAACAAGGCCGACCAAAGTGCTGTACAACAAAACTACAAGCAAAGAACACAGAATAAAAGACATAGATGCACAGAGATAAAGATGAGAACAAAATGACCAACTTTATAAAATACAGAAAAGTTAAAATCAACTCGCACTGTGTCAAAAGCCTCGGAATAAAAGTTTTTAAACGAGACTTAAAAACGGTGAGAGGGAGCCTGCCTGACATGCAGTGGTAACTCATTCCACAGTTTTGGACCTGCAACAGAGAAGGTTCTGTCACCTCCGAGCTTAAAACGAGTGTCTGGAACCAATAAAGCATCTGGTCTGCTGACCTCAGCGCTGTGGGAGATATGGCTGCAGCAGATCATAGAGCCAAGAGGGGCAGAACTGTTCAAAACATGCAGAAGGATTTTAAAATGAATTTCAAAGTGAACTGGGAGCCAGTGAAGGGTGGCCAGAACTGGAGAAATGTGCTCTCTCTTGCCTGTACCAGTAAAAATTTGGGCTGCGGCATTTTGAACCAGTTGTACTTGTGCAATAGAGGTCTGACTGATTCTAAAAAGAAGTGCATTGCAGTAATCGAGCCTGGATGTTATGAAAGCATGTGTTAATTCAAGATTCTTTTTTGTCATTCCACATCATGTGATACATGTGGTGGAATGACATTGTGTACACGGGATCCCAGTTACACCCAACAAAGTATTAAAAGGTAAAAGAAAAACAGTAATAAGATCTAAGATATGAACTAAGAAAAATTACTATTAGTATTATTAATAATAATAATGTTGTCGTCGTTGTTACCGTCACAAGGTTAGTGTTGGACAGTATGGGCTTCATTCTAGACAGTCACCTCAACTGTAAAAAACAGGATTTAACGATCATGTTTACATCATGACTGTTTAGTTTCATAGAAGGGTCCATTTTCACTCCCAGATTAGTGACAATTTGTTTCTCTAACGGGGCTACAGAGGAAATATCGATACAGTGGCTCCTGATTCTGCCATTAGGTGGAAACAACATGATTTTTGTCTTCTCATTAAAGTTTAAGAAATTTAAAGCCATCCAATCCCTCATGTCAACCAGGCAGCCAAGAAGAGGTTGGATAGAACGTGCTACAGAGAGAAGTAAATTTGACAGTCATCGGCATAAAAGAAAAGATGTGGCATTTACAAAAAATAGCACCTAGTGACAGCAGGTATAAGGAAAAGAGAAGAGGTCCGAGAATGGAGCCCTGCGGCACCCCAACCAAAGAGCTGCTGATGTTGAAATGTATTCCTTGATGTTGACACAAAAGGTTCTATCGTTAAATCCGATTTTAATGAAAACGACAGAAAACATTGACTTCATGACTGTTTTCTGTCCTCCTTATTTTTAGCTCCTTGTGGTCTTTGTTCTCGTGACATCTGGTCAGTAAAACCGTTTTTATTTTCTTAGATTTGTCTGACATTCAGGCAATATTTTTTACTTCTTCCAGTAAGATTCTGGGCCTGCCTGTGGTTTTTGTTTCAGCAGTGACCGTTGTCTGAGTAATGGCTGATGTCACGTCTCCCCCGCAGTTAGAAGTCTGTGGTCAGGCCCACACCCGGGTGTCCATCTGAGTATTTGACCTCGTTTTAGTTTCTCCCGGTGCTGTCACGCTCACTGTGGTTATTTTAGCACCTGTCCCAGTATTTACCATTACAACAGTGACCTTTTTAAATCCCAACTTGTTTTGTGGCGTTTCTAAGTTTAATGACGATAACTTGGCAAGAATCCTCCTTTTCTAGTTCTAGTTGGGAACACGTCTTGATGTAAAACACTAACGAGTAAAGTTTTATTTTTAAACTTTGCACGTGTGGGTGTAACCTGAACCAGGAATGACGTTTAAAAGGGTTTTAAAGAACCATGTCTCAGAGGATAAAACTACAATTTGGCCAACAGGTTTAATTATAATAATTGCATAACGTCTATTAGTAATCAGTCTTTTTGTATTTTTTTTTTTTTTTAAGAATAATTACAAAAGTTCTTTTTCACTATTTTGCCAAGTTTAGCTTCATATTTATTTGGTCTACATTTGCATTCTGAGTAGCTGCTGTTTGGACATGAATATTAGAAACCTGCAGCTTTTTTTTGTCTCATTGTAACTGATAAAAATATTGATCTGCCCACTGAGGTGCAGATACGTTCATTATTCCACTACTGCACCGCTTCTAGTTCTGGTTCCAGCCAACTTTTAATCCATTTTGACTTGACAGGTTAGAGTTTTTGAAGTAGCTGATATGTCTAGGTAGGTTTATTTTAAATCGGGTTAATTATTTCTGCTTTTTGTCTGCATGTTCTCTTCAAACATAAAATTGCTGCTTTTTATGTGAAAAATAATAATAATAATAATAATAATGTCATCACAATGTCAGCACTGTATGTTTCCATACAATGGCGAAATTAGTCTCTGCATTTAACCCATCCACCACCAGGTGGTGCAGTGGGCAGCTATTGAAAGCGCCCGGGGGACATTTTTTTGGGGGATTAGACGTGCTGCCCAGAGACGCCACGTGATGTGCAGTGACTGGGGATCGAACCTGGGACTCTCGGGTCCCAAGCCGGCTGCCCTGCCTCTACACCATCTCAAACGTAGCTTTCAAGTTTCTTGTGCTGTGAAAATCTTAGTACCTGTTAATTTGCATTTTTTTTTCTACTTCTGAAAGAAGCTGACTGAAATTAAACATTTTAAGGTTGTAAAAATCTGATGGCATTAAATTTACCAGGTTCTTAATAAACTCCTCTTGTTCCTGTCCGGGTTTTCTCAGGGTTACCTTGGACCAGCTGGCGCCCCATACCTGCCTCCAGGGATCCCCCAGGTTCCCTCTGCGCAGTCCTACTCCTTACCCTGCGACCATCCTGGACCACTACACTCGCTGCCCCCCACGGTGTCAGCCCCACCCAGCAGCCAGGCCACTCAGCCTCCTTACATGAGGTAGGACACGAGCCACGTCTAATCCCTGAACTGGAACTGCACATTTATGGAACAGCCCCACTGCAAACGGGTTATCAGTGGTCGTGTCATGTGTCTAGTAAAGGTAGCTTGACACCTGGGATGTTTAACGGTAACGGCTTCAAATCGTTTAATTCAGCTACAGAATCCGTTAGCGATGTGCACAGTTCTCACACGGTCTGGAAAGGTTTAGATTAGAGTCCAACCGATATGGACGTTTTGGCTATCGTCAATACCAAAATTGGTAGGTGTGTGCGACCGCCGATAACCGATATAATGGCTGACAAATTTTGCACTTAGTTCACCCCCTAGAATCTCAGTAAACAGCGAGTGGAGCGGGGCTTGTTTATTTAGCGCAGCTGTTAGCAACCATGAAGCTAAGCTAATCAGCTCCACTGTGCTGCCTTTTGTTCAAACGTAGTAATTAGTTCATCACGTGAGTAAGTTGCATAAATGAGGCGATAAATAAATTCATAGTTAATAATTAGTTTAAGTAAATTAATTCTAAAAATGGTTAAAATGTCTTTGTTTTGAATTCCAATCAGAGTGAGACGTCTGATCCTCGTCATATTGTACGTGCAGCACGTGAGGTAGTGAGTGCTCTCACCACAGAACAATCTTTGACGTCTGTTCTCCAGTAAAACAAGTGCTTCGGAAAATGAGGGAGAAAACTGCTAAAATTCACGCTTGTGCCTTGGGAGACATTGTTTTTTTTTTTGTTTTTTTTTCAAATTCATAGATAAAAGCTCTTCAGTAAAATCAATTTTTGTTTAGGTTGTTAGATAAAATGTGATCTGCACAAACCTTAAATATGTTCTATGTAAATGCAAAACGTTAACCGCAGCGTTTGTTTCTTGTTCTCGCAGCGGTGGACTGAACTCTCAGTACATGAACCAAACTGCTGGAGTTCCTTATCCTCCCCAGGCGGGCGTGGCCATGGATATGTCCGCCTATCACAACTCTAGCATGCCTCCCGTGTCTTATCCTGTCTCCGCCCCCCCTCACCAGGCTCCTCCTCCTCAGCAGCAGCCAGCCGTGTACTACCAGCAGCCTCTGCTGTAAACGTCTCGACTGGCAGCAGGCCTTGGGATGCACACCTCAGATAATTCAGCTCATGTGGCTCAACATCTGTTCACTTCCTTCAGAACGTCTTTTGGCCTTATCCTTTCTGTCAAGTTGGGCGTACGACACTGCACGGGTCTGCTGTGCGTCAGGTGTTTGCAAACAGAAGTCTTTTTACAGTTCACACGAGAACTGTTGGGTTTGCCTCCAAGTGCAGGACAATGTCATTTATGCCACTCTAATATTTCCAGACTAGTTTTCCAGGAATTTATAAAAAAAAAAAAAAGGTCACGTTTAGAGCTGGATAAAGATGGTTAGACAACACAACTGTAGATAAATTGGGGGGGAAACGTCTCTTATGTCTGTTCTTTCTACGTAACTTTATTTTCCTCTGGTCATGTGGAGGAAGCAGCAGAGTAGCTCTAGTCCTGGTCTACTAGCAGTAGCAGCATTTCAGCTGCTTCCAGCCTCGTAACAACAGCGCTGTCTCCAGTGGGAATAAAATAAACACTTCTTGCACATCTGCATGTAAAGTGCAACCACAAGCCTTCACATAAGTTACGCTGCTGAAAATGTAGTGTTTCAATCAGAGCTGATTATTATTATTATTATTTTGGCCTCAGATGTGTGAGATAGAAGAAGCGGCCTGTGGACGGTCAGGGTAACTAAAACTGAAAACACCAGATGTCCGTGGGCAGAGAGACTGAGCTCCCAAACAGCTGAGCAGGAGAAAATGTGGCTGAATAATATCGAAGCCATGGCTGTTTAAGATGCAGCTACTTTAACGCCCTAAATGTTTTGTTATTTCATGGTGTTAAGACCAAAGCAGGATTTGTCTGAAGTTTTACGCAGCTTTTTCTTCCTCTGCCGTTTGTCGAAATGATCTGAAGTTATGAGAGCTCTTCTGTTTCTCCTCATCTTCACTTCAGCTTCTCTCGGTCTTGAGCTGAATTTCAGATTAGCACGTTGGGTTTAACTTTATAAGCGTACGTCAGTAGTTCTTGGCTTCTGGGCTTGTTGGAGTTCTGTTCATATCTATCAGTTTATTGTTGTAAGTTGAGATGTTTTCTGAGGATCGTCAGATTTTTAGATTTGTCAGCCGTCTTTACGTGTTCAATAATTTGAAACGCAGCATCTCCTCGATGTTAATCCATCTAATCTGGACCTCTCTGTCTTTACTGAGGGCGTCTCTTTCATTCAGTTTGATTTAAGGGTTCGGGTTTATGCAAATACAATGTTTAGTTTAAAAAATGGCTACACTTTAATTATATATGGATATTGATATGCGTGTAATTTTCACTGTACAAACTAGTAACTATTATTGTCATTCTTTAGCATTTTCTTGACAAATTCCCATTAAATGAAAGATTTTAAACTGTTAAATTATCTTGAAGTGATGCGTCGTGTTTCCGATTCTCTTCTGTTCAAACAAATGTTGCTTTCGTCGTGTTGCCGTGACCTAGTGAGTGATTTTAGACGAGAATGTATTTCCATATAGCGCCCTCCTGTTAAAGTTCTTTGTAAAATAAATGTAAAATAATTGGATCTGTCATTATTGTGGATATTGCACCTTAGCTTTGTAAACATGTATTTACCACTGAATGCCTTGTTTTTGTTTTTCTGTACAAATCAAAAAGAATGACACGGACACGTCTTTTGCAAGCGATTTCTCTCACGGAGTTCTTTGGATATGTATAATTCTGTACATTTAAAATATTCCAGAAAAGGTTTCTTTATCCGGGATTTTAAACCTGCTTTCGTAACAGAGCAAACTTAAGATATTCTTTGAAATAAAAGAGTGACTACTTAAATCACGTGTGGAGTTGTCTTTAATAAAGGGTGCTGTTGCACAGGAATGACCATCCTTGTTATAATTTACCTGTTTCTTGTCTCCACCATTTTTTATTTCCTGCAGTTTGGCTGAAGCTGCATTCATGTGCTCTTTGTAAAGTGTAATTTTACTCATGCAGATAATTAATTTCAGTAAATTTTGATATTTTATTTGAGCAACATGCATTGCTGTTTCATAAAATGATAATATTTGACTCGACCAATAAATTATTAGACTTCCTTATCCGTGTTTCTCGACGATCCTGAGCGGCGAGCCTGGAACTCCGACGTTCTTCCGTGTCCCTGAACGCAGCGCAGCTTGTGACGGGAGCGCGCGCGGTGAGCGAGGAGGCGGCGGAGAGTTAAAAGGCGGCGGCGGCGCAGCTTCAGCACCGGTTCTCCTCCGACCGGCGGCCGTGACGCGACGTGAAGCTGGAGTCGGCGGCTCCCCGTCCGCCCCCGGAGCAGCGGTGGAGCGGGACCGAGCGGCAGCCGCCCCCCTGGACCGACGAGCTGGCCGAGATGTCCCGGCACATCTACACCCGGCACGGGGTAGGAGAGGGGCTGCAGAAGCCCGTGTTTCAGGTAGGAAGACGCAAATAAAGTTATAAAATGCTGAGTCCATCTGGAAATTGAAAAGGGTTGTAACTAATAAACTGCAGCCTTTGTAATGTAAAATAAATAAAAGTGAAGTCTAAAGCAGAAACTGAAGAGCAGGATTAGTCCTGCAGGTGCTGATGACAGGTTTGATTTATTGGTTGATCAATTATTAAACACTTCCTGGTAGAACATCTCATGATGGATTTGAGTTCAGCTGCTTTTCCAGGTCAGTGCTGCCCCCCCTGCAGGTTTGTTGCAGCATTAAGGTCATCTTTAGTCCTCTAGAATCAGCTGATTTATATTTTCCTTTATAATTCATGGAATGATCAGCTCCAGCTGCTGCGCCAATCCAGCTCAAAACCAAGCAAATAAATCTTCTCACTTGGATTTGATCAGATTTTGAGCTTGTTCTGTAACCATCTATGTGTTTTACAATTTATAAATAATTTATGAAAAATAACAGATGCATTGATTTGCATCTGCACGCGTCCCTCCACCTCTGGCGAGGCGTCGCACAGTTTACAGAGTTGCCTTAAATGAATTCAGGGCTTTCCGTTCACTGCGACCAGCCAAGAGAAAGATGACTTTATCATCAGAGAGGGAACAGGAGGGAGCTGATGGAGCCAGGGATGGAGATGTTGGTGTTAACGGGGTTAGGATAAGAACTCTTGAGTTTGTGCGTGAGAAGAGCAAATAACAAGACACTGATACAGATCAGAGCCTGAGCTGTAAGATTTAGAGGTTCCAAAGTGCTGTATCAGAACCCTTTATATAATTTGTCGTGTGAATACAGCATGGCTAAAAGAGAAAACGATGTGGTGTGTCTGTCACAAAGAAGCTGGGATGATTTAATGATGGAAGCCTGTTCTGGTGTCAGCAGGTTAACAGAGGCACCTACTCCAGGCGCAGTCGTCTGAAGAGGTCCGACGGAAGCACCACGTCTACGAGCTTCATTCTCAGACAGGTAGGTCTTCTTATTATGGCCTGTTTGTTTGTACACGTGTTTGACTGACCGTTAGCTAAATATCTCACGAATCAGAGGATGGATTTTAAGTGAAACTCTCAGAAAGAAGTCTCTGAATACAATCCAACTTTATTTATAGAGAACTTTAAAAGCAACACCGTTGGCCAAAGTGCTGTGCACGAACACTACAAGCAACAAAAAAAAAAAAAACAAAAAAAAAAACATAAAATAAGCTGAAACTGTAAAAGTAATGAACTGTTAAAATAATTAAACGGCAAACAATAAAAGCAAATAACTTAAAAATAGTAAAACCAACATTTCAATCTGAGTTAAAAGCCAAAGAGGAAAAAAAATGTGTCTACAGAGAAGATTTAAAAACAGGAAGTGATGTCTTGTTTTTTAATGGAACAAAAATTTGTCTGTCATCAGCATAAAAATGAAAAGTAACACCATGCTTCTTGAGAATATATCCCAGAGGGAGTAAATAAAGGGAAAACAGAAGGAGGCCAAGTATAGATCCCTGAGACACTCCACATGTGAGAGGCGCTACAGAAGACTCAACAGCTTCAATACTCACAAAAGCTTCTCACTGTTAAATAGGATCTAAACCACTGTACAGCACAACTAACTATCTTTTCAAGTAAACCCAGTTTAAGATGGCTGCTGGAACTAATCAACCTTAAAGAAAGGAATGGCAATAACACAATCAGTTTTACAGGTAACGAGCTAAAATTTGATGTGGTAGTAGCTAAGCAACATCCCCAGCACATACTCTGAGCACTGACTGATTAAACAATATTTTTGTTTAAAATGTTGACTTTAAAGGCAGAAATTTGGAATAAGATTATTACTAAATAATCTTGTCTAAACATTCTGTAGTAGGAGATGTTTACTTGTTTGTTTATTTTGGTTGCAACAGTTTCCTGGAGCAGAGCGTTTCTTGGTATCAAAGTTTTAGTACCTCTGAGGTGAATCTCTCTCACAGTAATCACTCCACACTCAAGACGGAGTTAAAGAATATAAAACAATTAAACAACACATAGAAAGGTCTTTAACTTTCACCTGAGTGAATGGACCTTTTGATGCTGCAAATTCAGTTTTACAGAATTTATTGCAAAAAAATAATATTAAAAAAAAACCCGACAACAACAGGGAATAATTTCAGTAATAATCAGGAACAGATCAGTCAGTGTAAAATATAAATCCCAACACTGGGGTTCAATTGTGAACATGTTTGGGGATTTCACATTTAAATAATTATTTTAATTTAAATATTAACATTAATCTTGAAAAGATGAGCACTTGGTAACATCAACCCACAGATCAACTATGATTTACCAATCTATGACTCAAAGATCTACTATTATCTGCCAATCTATGACCCAAAGATCCACTATGATCTACCAATCTATGATCCACTATGATCTACCATCTATGACCCAAAGATCCACTATGATCTACCAATATATGACCCAAAGATCCACTATGATCTACCAATATATGATCCAAAGATCCACTATGATCTACCGATCTATGATCCAAAGATCCACTATGATCTACCAATATATGACCCAAAGATCCACTATGATCTACCAATCTATGATCCAATGATCCACTATGATCTACCAATCTAGGACCCAAAGATCCATTATTATCTGCCAATCTAGGACCCAAAGATCCACTATGATCTACCAATCTCTGATCCAAAGATCCACTATGATCTACCAATCTATGATCCAAAGATCCACTATGATCTACCAATCTATGATCCAAAGATCCACTATGATCTACCAATCTATGACCAAAAGATCCACTATGATCTACCAATCTATGATTCAAAGATCCACTATGATCTACTAATCTATGACCAAAAGATCCACTATGATCTACCAATCTATGACCCAAAGATCCACTATTATCTGCCAATCTATGACCCAA